GGTTTTGAGGTTATACACTTGAGCAGTGGAGTGAACTTCCTGCCGAGTAGAGGATTCTGGTTGACTTCTGCCTCTTCCTCTACCTCGTCCTCTCTGGGATATTGAAGCAGATCTCTCCGGTGGAGCATGCTCTTCAGCCCTCAAAGGACAATCTCTCATGAAATGCATATCTCCCCACATTGGAAACAAGCTACATATTTGACTCTGCATATCCCGTTATGGTTTTTTCCACAAATTTGGCACTACCTAACTGAACTCTATTGTGCTCGCCCATCACCAGACCCTACAGATTGAGTCTATCTGGCTCTCATCTGATTTGATCCTCTAGTAGAGGATGCCACTAACTCTGACCTCGCCTGAGACAGAAAACCATAATCTCTACCTCTCTTAGGCGGTGCAAAACTTGATGAATCCCCAGTTCTTTTGGACGATTGAGCTCTTTGCTCCCCAAACTGTTCATTCAGAGCTCTATCTAGAGCTTTAGCACGGTTTACCACCTCTTGAAACGATGAAATGTTCAACACAATTAACATCTCCTTTAGCCTTGGACATAAACCCTCCATAAACCACCCATACGCATCATTATCTGTAGGCACTAATTATGTCGCAAAACGACTTAATTTGTTGAACTCATACTCATATACAGTGCGGTTCATTTGCTTCAGATTCAAAAATTCTTACTTCATCTGCTTGATGAACTCGTCTCCTATATACTTATGCTTAAACTCTTCTAGGAATAGAGACCGTGTCACTTGATCACTAGTCATCCTCATAGTGATATTTGTCCACCAAATTCTTGCTTGCCCGCGAAGCAAGGAGACCACCCCATCTAACTTTTCTACATCAGAATAGTGGAGTCCCTCTAACATAATCTTCAAGTTATTGAGCCAAAGGTCCGCAGAAACATGACCCTCTTCAGATTCACCTTTGAACTTATGAGCTCTTAATCCCTTTAGCTCCATTGCAACATTCATTCTTTGAGCGGAGTAAATAGGAGGTTAGAAACGTGTCAAGATAGCGTCCAACGACCTGAAGAATACGTCTTGGTCTTGTACAGGCACTCCAAAAGGGCATGTCCTTCGCGTTGTCTGGCCAGGGCAGGTGAATTACTGCTCTCAGCAAATCTATCATCTCCCGCTTCACTTCGGGAGCTATCTTATCTGGACATCTAATAAGATATACCCAAATAGTTCTATTAACAAAACATCATACGTATTACTCTTATCAGATCAAAAGTTCTTATTATCATGTTGGCATGTACACATAATAGGACACTCTAGACTCTGGTTTATGCCGAGAATCGACTAAACCATGACTCTGATACCATTAAATGTAACAGCCCAACCTGTATCCGACCCGGATAAGAGTCTGAGGTGTCACATTGACTTTTCAAACATATATATTTATAAAAACTATAAAAAAAATTAAACTTTCATTAATATAATGCTAACCATTTACATAAGTACGACCAAAATATTACAAAACTGATCAGAGCATATGTAAATTACACCTGTTACATGCTAACACTTTTATACAACAAAATACATACTGTGAATTTACTTCTGATCTGATCTTCGAGTGGATGTACATTGTCCTGTTGATCTTAAACCTAGTCGTCTCTTTTTTCAGTACCTATGTATAAAAATACTTACACGCTAAGTCATAGACTTAGTGAGGCATAAACTTCTAATAATGCATTTCTTATAAATATAAACATGCAATATAATATTCAAATAAAATCATCAATATCATTTCATGATTCTATCACATTACATATGATTCATGATAACCAATAATAATATGATATAATGCAATACACACACTTTTTATATTCTTTGTAGGCCCATGTATATACTGAGAACTTAAGGTATGTGGGTACATAGAGGTTGTGCACATATACTGTCACCACAGCTCGTATAAGTCCCACTGAGAGGCATATGAAATTTGTCTCTAATGACCTATGAATATCTCCCGAATGACCTATGAATATGTCCCAAAGGACCTATGAAGCCCTCGACTCTTGGCATGCCAACTATACCTACAGCTCTCATATCACATAACATGGACATTAGTGTTATATTTCATATAAACATGTACTTATATCATTTTCTTTGTAATCACATGTGTCTTTTCTTCTATTACATATCACATATGCAAATATTCATCAATCTCATATCCTGTAACATATGTATTTGAATACCTTCACATGAGTCATATAATATAGATCAAATCATATAAACATATATATCTTATGCACGTGTTTATAATAACCATAATGTATACATGTTTATAACTATTAGACTATGAAACTAACATAGGAAATAGACTTATCACAAGTCTTATTTCCATTGAACTATACCTAGGTTATGCACTCATCTTGGCCTCACTAAATTCCAAATCTGCTTCTATGATTCTCTTTCCTTAGATCGATCCTAACTGTGTTGTTGTTCCAGAACTTGCTTGAGCTCGATGTCTACATAATCATACATTTATACATATCAGTATTCCAAATAGCTTACTCATAGGGTATGGGTACCCCCTATAGGGTATCGATACCTCACTTAACTGTGGTATGGGTACCATACCTAGGTATCGATACCCATATTGTATTCTGTGATTTTGGTTTCAAAGATGGTATCGATATTGTCCTTAAGGTATCGGTACCCTTGGTATCGATATTACCCTCCAAGGTATTGATACCCTTTAAATGCCTTTAATAATTCTAGACCTGAAGTATCGGTACCCGTTGAAGCAGTAACGACACCCATAGCCCGGATTTCCCTTTTTAAGCTCGAAAATCACTCCAAATCAACTTAAATCCTTTATATCTTAACCCCTTTAATACTCTTAACTCAAATATACATACCCAAACCAATTCATATGCATTTAATATCTCTTTATCTTCAAAATCTCATCATCAAAATGGAAATCAAGAATCATACCAAATTTTCTATATGTTCTAATTTCAATTCTATCACTTCATATCCCTTAATTCAACTATTGACAATTCCAAGTTTTCATTCAGAAACTCCTAATCTTTAATCTCTCCTAACTCCTTAATCATTCAATTTAAAGTTGACTTAAGCTTTCTTTAAGCTTAAGTACTATCTAATAATAATAACCAACTCAAAAATTCAACAAGAGATTAACTAACAAGAAAACTCACTTTTGCTTTAAGCCTTCACATATGAAGAAGAAATGAGAAGATGAGAATTCTGAAAACTTTGGTTGTTCCTCTTTACATCCCACGTGTAAAAATATATAACCCCTCTCAAATAATTATCTTGCTATCAAATGTCCATTTTAACCTTCCATTCTTCCTTCTTTGATACTTAATCCTATACAAAATTTATAATATAAGTCCCTAAACTATTCAATATATCTACATTTACCTACAAATTCTAAAATTTTTCAATTTAGTCACTAACCCGGTATTGAGGATGTTACATATATATAAATTTCTCATGATTCACAGTTATTTTTTAACTATGGACCCAGCCGGGGTGGATATAATCCATCTTTAAAATCTGAATTTTTTTAATTAATTAATTAATTATTTATTTATTTATAATGTTTATTTTGAAATTTTTGTATACTATTTCATACGGAAATTTTACATTTATATATATATATATATATATATATATATATATATATATTTCAAAAGATATTTTTAGATCCGCTATCAAATCCACCATTTATATATCCATCTTACACGGGGTTAAGAATTATACACAAGTATGATATCACGGTTAAATGAGAAAGAATATTGATATTGAAAAATAAAATTAAAAAGAATATTTAAGAAAATAAAATGAATTTTATAATATTTATTAAAATTGTCTATAAACAAAAATAATTCTTTTTATTTATACATCTCTCACTTTATATACAGAATAAAAACATAATTTTTTTCTTGAAATTATATATCGATTAGTTTTATTTCCTTTTGAAGAATTGATATTATTCTACCTTTTTCATACGAACGTGAGAGTGCAGTTAATTTTTTTTTATATATATAAGATGTTAATTTTATTTAAGAAAAAGAATGTTTGCAATTATAATCGTAAATTAAATGTATAATTAAAATATTTTTTTATGATCACTGACACAAAACTAATCACTTAAGTTTACATAAAAACTATATAAGAAAAAAGTTAAATACCTATTCAAAAAAAAAATTGAACAAAGATAAATACAAATAGATTTGATCGCATCGACAAACGAATTATAAAAAGACTATTAAAAGATTATCGAAAAACAGTAAATCAGAGTTAAACGACTTGAAAAACTATCCACGAATGCAAATTATGTATCCAAATTTAATATAAGGTCCAATGTAGGGAAGATAGCATGATAACATATAAGTGTCATCTTGATCAATTGTGACGATGTCGAAACTAGCAAAAACGTACCAAAAACCAGAGGAAAACATACCATGAAAGTAAATAAAAACGTGACATAAAAATAAAATTATTAAAATTTAAAATTTAACTAAGGTATCAAATATGTAAAAATCTTTAATGAGAGACTCACTCACTAAAATTAAATATGTAATATAAGTCTATCCTAATTAATAAAAAAGAAGCCTTGAAATCGAAAGAAAAAAAAAACATAAGATGCGGCTATTGATCATTAAAAATGAAAACAAAAGGATGAACCGCGCAGACAAACGAGAGAAATCTAATGCTGTTAATTTTATAAAATAACATCTATTTTACAATTACACTAATCATAAGAAAATTATATTTATTTTATATATTTATCGTGCCATAATAAATATATTTTATCTTATACAATTTAATCTTACTTTACACATTAATATTAAGAGTGTTTATGTTGTTAACCAGATTTGGGGTTGGGAGATTAGCAATGCTCTTGGTTTATGACTTACAAGATTATATAATTTTGAGTATTCCTTTCATTCTTTTTCTCCTAGAAACATAAGATTCATTTACTTCCCAATGTTTTCTCGAGAAAAAAAAAATGGAATTCTCAGATTTCACAAAGCACACAGAAAGAAGGAAATTCATAACTGAAAACATATCAAACAGATACATAAACATGTCGCGAAAAGGGGGGGGGGGAATCACAGCATCTCAGAAAAGCTCAGCTCCGCTTGACGGGGTCGAAGTTGGACACACCGATGACGGCTCCAATAATGGCAACAGCCACAACACCGCCAGCCGCGATGCTAAGCAAGAAGTTCTTGAGCGATGGGGTAACACCGTCGGCAGCTTGAGCCACCTCGGGGATCACCATGGATGTCGTCAGAGAAGCAGCTGTCAATCCAGTGACCACCTTCTCCCTGAAAGAAGAAGAGGAAGCCTTGACTTGGAGCTTTCCATTGGATCGCCTATTCGTCGCCATAGCCCTCGATAGCTTCACCGGCAGCGGCTTAAACAAAGCCCCGGATCCGAGCACCTTCTTTTGGATGGCACCGGTTAATGGAAGAGCCATTGAAACAGCTGAAGTAGAAGCCATTGTTGGATTGCTTCTTCTGTGTTTTTGATGAAAGTTTTGCTGTGAAATAAGAGATTGGGGGTGTTAAAGTATGTGGTTTCGAGAGATGGGAATTTGAGGATATCATCTCTATCTGTGTTCCCAAGTGGCAGCTTCTCAGGCTGTGATCAATGGATAAGGTTATCTCGTTGGTCCAATCCCCATCAAGTTTGTGATTTGGAAAAGAATTTTCATGGTTTTTTTCCCTATTGGTTTTGTGGTTCTTAGCCATTTGGTTGATTTCGGGTACTTACGTAGTTTGCTTCTTAAAAACATCATCTCATAATTTACATAAATAAATATTAAAAATTAAATTTATTATTTTTTATAATTAAAGTTAAAATATAAATTTATTACTATCTTCTCGATAAATCTGAGTGAATATAAGATAATATATGTTCAAAGACTATTAACCATTTGATAATAAAAGTTTATATCACTACATACGTGATGCTCGAAACTAGAATCTCAAAAAATAATAATAAATCTCTTAATCACTGAATTCGTTTGGTTGACACATATTATTAAAAACATAATTGAATGATTTGGAGTATATTTTATCCTTTAAATTTTTTAGATTTAATTGCAACATACATACCTAAACTATGCCACTTATTTTAAATTTATCCCTAAATTTTTGAATATTTTAATTTCATCCCTAAACTATGACTCACATTTTAAATTATTCCCTAAACTTTTGAACATTCCAAATGCAACCTCAAACTATGACCCTTATTTTAAATTAGCCCCTAAACTTTTGAACATTTCAATAATATCACCCTAAATCATTCAAACCTTCAAAGTTGAAATTAGAATATTTAAAGGTTTGGGGGATCAATATAGAATGAGGGTTATAGTTTGGGAATGGATTTGGTATGTTCAAACGTTTGGGGACTAATTTAAAATGAAAACATAGTTTGAGGATGAGAATGTTCAAAAATTTAGGGCTTAATTAGAAATGAGGATCATAGTTAAGGGACATATGATACAATTAACTCAAATTTTTAATAATACAATAAATGGGCCAATGGGAAGCTTTTGAGATGCTTCTTTAATGGGCCAATGCCGAGTTTACAACATCATACGCAGAAGATGATAAATGAAACTAAACCCATAGAGAAACCCAAGCATTTCTCTTGTTTTTTCAATCCTTTCAAACATCGCACACATAAAATTATTCTAACTCGGATTATCTAAAGAGAATATTCGTTTTTATCATTGGGACGACTCTTTTGAGTCCAAAGAATGCAAATTAGAATGAAGAGAAACGAGACCGTCATCTAGCAGGTTGATGAAGTGCATAAGCAGCTGAACCAACATAGGTGACTTGAACTTCTTGAGGCAGAAGATGGTATTTAATACTCAAAGCTTCGAAAATTCTCTTCAGTTCCAACACCAGCTCCGATCTCCGGCTGCTCTTGTCGCCGTAGTTCTGAAAGTTAATGGTGTGAGTCATATAAAGAGCCATTTTCATCTTATTCACATTCTCAATGTCCTTCACTTGCACACTATGTCCAGGTCGCCAATGCTGGGGCTTACTCTCCAGGTACTCTTTTATTTTAGCTTTTAGCTCTCCTATTTGCTCTATCGATGTTGAAACATCGACTGTGAACTCTACGGAATCACTCATGTCCGGGCTCCTGTAAAAGTTGCTGATCGGTTTGGTCGCCAGAACCGAATTTGGATAGAATATTTTCTCGTTATCGTACCTCAGAAATACCGTCGTCAGGATGTTCATCTCCTCGACGACCATTTGTACTCCATCAATGACACAACGGTCGCCGACGTCGAAAGGGTGCATCACAAATACAAATATGATGGCTTCGAATACGGTCTTTGCAGTGTTACCGAACATGAATGCGGCGAGTAAGAGCTGAGATGAAATGAAAACGAGTACTTGGGTCGATAAGAATCCCATCATGAGTAACCACACGACGATCGTCACGACGAGCACCACCACCGAGATGAGCTTGTTAAGCTCCTCTATTGCTGTCTTGGTGTCATTTAAGGAATGTGCCAATGACTTGCGTTCTAAGTAAACATTCACCTGCAAACCAGCAAGCATATATGAATATATTGAAGAGGACATACATGAAGAAAGATCATAAGAATTACCAGCCAACTCTTGAAAGTTGATCTCTTGATCTTTCCGGATTCTACAGCACCTTCGAACAACGGAAGCACATTGTCGACTTCCTCCCTTTTCATGAAGCGCAAGAGATCGTCGTCTTCGATGTACCTATGTCATTTATCAAACAGGGATCGTGACTCAATTACAAAACAAAAAATTAAAGCATTCAACAATTGAGTTGTTATAAGTCATGTACGCTCACTTGTTACCAGGCTTTGCTACATTCTTGAATATCCGATAAGCGGCGGCCTTTGCTTCCCACTCGCTCGTTATTTCCTCATCCACGTGCTCGTTCTCTTCATCGTCAACATCTTCGATGTAATTAGCAATGGTGGACAGCCCCGAACCACTTATCACATTGATTAATCCTTTCATGGTCCAAGCAGACACTTTCTCTTGCTTCATCTTCTTAAGCCTATCCACATCAATCACCTCTTGCTTCTCCCCTCCTTTGTCCTTCACCAAATTCGTGAAACTCAACTGGCCAACGCTCGTGCTTCTCCCGACGTTCTCGGCCATCTCCATGACCGGAGGTCCCGAGAGAACTCGGAGAATGTACTGATGAAAAATCGATTCTTGAATCCGATCGAAGAATCTGGTGCATTGGAAAGAAGATGCCAAAAGCTTAACAAAAAGGGTCTTGGCCAGCCAGATAGCTGATCCAATGAGACATGAAGCAAGGGCCCTGGTGATATAATTTAGAACCCTATTGGCCTTCTTTGATCTCTTAACCCCACGGTTAAACAACAAACCCCAAGTCAAAAGGACCAGACCCAACCAGACGAATAGCCTGACACTGCCTTTCAATCCAAAAACAAAATACAGAACTTTCTTCTTAAGCAAATAGTTCTTTTCAATCAAAAATACAACAATGTTCATCATCCATTCAGTAAACAATCTGCCACAGAAAATGACCAAAACCAACACACACCATTTCCACAATTCCAGGCTCCAAATCTTAGTTTCTTCAAGCTTGTCCAATGTCAAACTAGCAACAAGAAGCCCCATGATGCAGATAAACACAAGAAGCTCAACCCAAAGCAAAATCTTCCATTTTTTACTTGGTTTTTGACTGACTTTAAGATCAGCCGTCTTGTAAACCTCCTCTTCGTCTTCCTCCTCTAGCCCTGGTGAGATCAAAGGCGTTTTTGGAGTAATGGGAGCTGATTTATTAGCTTTGTTGTTTGGTGAAGCTGCTGCAGGGGAGTTCCTATAAGGTGATAAGCTTGGATTCAAGATCTGGGTATTGTTTTCTTCCACCATTTTAGCATCTTTTAGATACGATGGCTCCACAAATCTTGATTTCGGCTTCGAAAAGGCTGATCTTGCAAGGGATTTTATTGGAGTAAGCCTGTTATCAATGGGGATTTTGGGAGGCTTATTTAGAGTTGGACTCATATTTGCTATCTCTCTAGCGGGAGATGAAATTGGAGTAGTTGTTGAAACTCGGACCCTGGCGAGACTCTCGAGATTCCTGTGCGAAGTGTAAGAGCCAGCAGCTTCTGCCATTGAAGTAGAATTTTCAGGGCTTGAAATCTGGAGAACAACATCATTTGTTCCTCTTCTCTCCATCAACGCTTTGTTATGATGCTAATCCAACCATAAAAGTGAAACGAGAATTCTACCGTCGACCCAGTTTCTCCTGGGAAACAAACAGAACAATGAAAATTTGACAAAATCTTTTCTCTTCAAACGTAAAATAGAAAACGACGGATTACGTAAAAAAGGTCGACCGCCAATATTGACAAAGATGGGAAATCTAAAAGACCATAGAATTTCAAAGATAGAGGCTTTTTTCGACCAACGACAGTGTTGTTTAGTTGCAGCGGCAGCAAATAGTTGACGGATAAGAAGGTCAAAGAAAGGCAATCAAAGCAAGCTGCTGACATTCGGGCGTGGTGTCGGGACCTTCGCCGACTTTTTAATAAACTAAAGACTGCAACATTTCCGGACAAATATAAAAAAACAGTACACAACTTGTTCATGCACTTTTTGCAAACTCCTCCATGGTAGTGACTGTAATTATTGAGTAGTTAGTTTTTATTAGCTAATTATTATTAAATTAATTTAGGCTTTAAATTAATAATAATCCTTTGGACAATAATATTAATTATAAAAATATACAAATATTATTATAATAACACTAATTATAATTAAAAATAAAAATATTTTAATAATTTCAAATTACGTTAGCATTCGATTAACCAATAATACAAAAGTCAATTAGAATTTTAATATAATATTAATAATATTATATAATTTATACAATCTTTTACTTCCTTCATACATTGTATATCGCTTTCAAATGAGGAAAAAAATCCAATACATCGATCTTTGTCATTCATTATAATTTATAAATAATAATTTAAAAAGTTGAATAATAATTAAAAAAAAATAGAGCAGACAATATTTTATAAGTGAAAAAAAATGCAAAATTTATGAAGCATACGCATTGTTTATTAATTGGAGCAGAGAGTTGGTGACCGAGTTGAAGCAGGTATTGATGAGTTGGTTTACATTTTTTATTAAAACAATTTTATGGCATGTTTCGAAAAGAATTAAAAGTCGAACGTCTTTACAATAATGACATTGATGATTATTGGGAATTATATATTAAAACTTAAATATTTAGATTTATTAAAAATTAAATTTATTAATCAAACAGTTAAAATATAAAATAATTTTCGTATCTTATAATTTCTCTAATTAATGAACAGAATTTTCATATTTATTTATTTAATTAAAATATTTTTATAATATTTCATTTAAATTAATAAATTAAGAAATTGAATATCAATAAAATAATGACAACATAAATGAAGAAAATTGCAGTAGGAATAGATTTGTTTTGAAGTAATACAGCTGACAAGTTAACAACTGCTTTCCACTCTAATTCATTTAAAACAAAATAAAGTAAGTTGAAATACAAGGATGACATAGGGTCAAATTAACAAAAGATATGTTGTCCACAATTTGACGCAATAGACTATATTTATAGGTTTTATTCTTAAATTCAGTCCACGTTACAATGTTAACATTAATCTAATTGAGTCTTAAAAATCAATGATTTTAATATATAAATTAAAAATTCACAATAGTTAAAATGATAGTTATTATTATTAGAGATTTCGAATTTGAGCACTATGTATATAAAAATGTTTCAACGTTCATTGTAAATGGTTAAGAGTCTTTCAAACATGTACTTCCTTATAATCATCTCATATTAATAAAAAGAAATAATAGTTCTAATATGATAAAAAAATTAAATCATATTCTTAACGGATATTAAATATTAAAGTTTTTTTTATTATTTCAATTATTTTGAATAATTAATTAATTTTAAATCAAATTAACCGACAGCTGAATTTTAAAAAGAAAAATTGACATTAACCTATCCAACGCCTAATAATCCAACTGATTAATTGAACTAAATTTTAATAAAATTGATTAATTCAGTTTAAACCGAACAATAAACACCCCCAAGAGCCAACTCCAAAAAGAGAGAATACAAAAACTATTTATAGCCAAGCATGAATAAATTTATACGAAGTAATTTATTATAATTCCATGTATTTCGGAATCTTCGATAAACAAACTCTGGTACAGATTTCCCAAATGTTAAAATCCAAATGTTCCAACATAGAGGAGATGTCTATATTTTACATAACTGATTAGGAGACGTACCTACTTACATCCTTCTCAAATTGTCTAACCTTGCCTGTAGGTCACTATCTATCCCACTTTCATCGTTCCCGGTTGCTTCTGCATGTGCAACCTTACCCTTTGCGGCTGGTGCCGCAACCACACCTGATGGTGCAGTAACGAGCTGCAATTGGATCCAAATATGCAGTGTTAGTAGGCTATTAGCAACTTTATATGAGCAATGATGGTGGCTAATTTTCAAGCTAAGTGCAATATGTTGAGAAAGCAAAGGTGAAAATAGTACCTCTTGGTTGATGTCGATTCCGATCTCGTCAAGAACCTGGCTCACCAATTCTTCTGTTTCCTCCTCTTCCTCGTCCCCTTCTAAAGCATCATCGATTGCATCACCCATCACCTCAGTCACCATCTCCATCTTCTCATTCTGTCTTTCGAATTCTTGCATAATTTTCTGCAGGGATGGCAAGTTCATCTGTCTGTTCATCTGTCCCATTGCCTTTGTCACACCTTTCATTGCCTCTCCCATTGCCTGTGTTGATTTCAGTGTCTGAAAGTTGTACGGCACAGAAAATTAGTCGAGCTTTGAACCTTATGACATATAAGCAATTAAAACTCGCAAAATTAAAATGCTACAATCTTGCAATGAAACTCAGATAGCCTAAGAGCATTTTGTAAATCAACTGTTTATACAATTGATTTATCCTCGTAGAACAATTCGGAAAAAGAAAGCGCACATTTTAAGTCATTGACTCAAAGATAAAATGTAAAAGTACATACTTGAATTCTAAGAGATACACCCTGGAGCTGTGATTTGAGCTTATAAAATTTTTCAATCTGATGTCGTGTCCGGATAAGGTCTTTTGCCATCACCTTTACAGCTCCCTGAAATAAAATTCCAAAAACAACATGTTTAGAGGACAGCACGCCCGATGGACATGAAAGACCATTCATGTCTAATACGAAACATGACCGCATCAGTCCACTAATTCGAAGCAAAATAAACATACACATGATTCAAGTAACCAAATTGCCAAATATACAAAACTGTCACACATATAATTGATGCATTTTGTTTAAAATGAGTTACAAGAAATGCACATTAACTCATCATGTCGATCTGCGAAAGTACTAGTAACTATCACAATTCACAAATAAATCAATATAATCCTAGAGAACATGTCATACATAAAAATAGAGTCATCTAGCACCGAATTAAATCATGTTATGTTCAAAATCACCAATAAAGCAACCTCGTTTATACCAAAAGATAAAAGATACTTCTCGTTGACGAAAAGTACATAAATATGCAAAATCAATAAGCATTTAAACCTATATAAAGTTATATCCCAATTTTAAGAGGATATTAATTAGACATAAGTAAAAGATGTTGAGCAAAAAAATAAACTCAGTTGTAAAAAGTTACATGTAACTCACCATCTGCCCTTGCTTTGCACTTTTCTTCATCTCAGCAATCAGTTTCTTCTCTTGGGTCTGTAGACCTTGCCTCTCCCTCTCTATCTCTCTAATAGATTTATCAAGCATCCGCTTGTTTTCTCGCAGAAGCTCTGAAATCAAAAACCATCAACACTTTCAGATAACTACCCAATATCTCAATACAAAATGAGCAACATAATTTAATTCAAACGATCCACTTTCAGAGCCTATCAAGGGAAAAACTTGAAAACCACAAAAGTACACAATTCATCTAACTTCTTTGCTTGAGCTTTGATACACTAAGGTGAAAAAGGCCAAAAGGCTCAATAAATTGCAGAAGCCTTACTGTTATATATATGAACAAAGAAAAACACAATGAATCGTTCTTAATATCCATAATTAAATCAAATAAACATAAATAAAACATTCGAATTGCTTTCATAAGCAGAACTCGCAACTATTTCTAAAATTAAATCTTCAATTCTAAAAAAAAAAAAATCGAACAGAGTCAATTTCCAGAAAATTATCAGCGAAATATAATCAACGAACACTATAGTCACTTAATTATCCAATCGCTAAAACACTCTAACTAAAATAACTTTATCAAAATCAAGCAACGTACCGATCAGCACAAAATCGGTAGAAATTTTCGAAAAGAATACAAATTGTAATTATTTAAAAACAAATTTGATACCTGCTGGAGTTTTTCTCTTGCCAAAGATGAAACTCATGTTGGATCGATGCTACGAAAATTGTCGTATACCGATTTGGTGGAGGCTACGACGAACCGATCTGATATAAAATCGCGTTGGACACGGCAAGGAAATTGCTTCTTCGAGGTGGTTTGTTTGGTTGCTCCGCCGCGAACTAACTTATTCGCTACTTTACGCCGCACAAGGACAATCGAAAACGGTCAGGGGGAATCGGGTATGATCAAATCCCATTCCACACGTGGCTGCATCTGAGTGCGAGGGTCCAGTGTTTATCAGTAGGGTTGTATCTTAGTATAATCATATGGACTCTCTGAAGTTTGGGCTTTCTCTTGGTACGGTATATGGCCTTTGGACGGCGAAAGAGCCTTGCTTAACTAGATGTTACGGTTTTTTTTTTTTTATGAATTTATGATCAATATTATATGTTTTTAAATATTTTCAATCATTTGATGATATATTTGATGTATGAACCTAAAATATTAAGAGATATCAATCATTCCTTTAACCACTAAAGTAGTTTAATTCATGCAAGTAAATATTACGATTTAAATTGGATCGATTTGATTAAATTAATTCACTTTATTTGGTTAACGAGTTTAATGTAACTCAATTTAATTAGTAAATTTTTACATCACTACCACTATTTTCATTTAATCGGTAGTTAAAATTAATGAGGAAACTAAAATAAAAATAAAATGTAACATTAAATATGATTTTAAAAAAGTTAAGAATAACTAATAGCCAATATATGTCTAGTGGGATGAGACACTAGGTTTATTAAACAATGTCAAGAGTTTGAATTTTGGTGTTCGCGAATTAGCAAATTGGATTGGAGTTGTCCCCTTTATAGGCTTAAGTAAAATTAATTTGTATTAGTCGATCAATAGATAGGATACTAGTTATTAATTTAAAAAATTGTGAATAGATTAAGAATTGAGTGAACTGTGTTGGGAGGGTTGCTCCCGTGAAGAGTCTCTGCAAAACTTAATCTAGAATAGTCAATCAATAGATCAAGTACAATAAGTTAATTTAAAACAATAGACTGATTAAAATAAAAATATAGAAATAGATGGTATACCAAATACGGAATTTACCCAAAGATTATAATACCCACGCGCTGTAACACTCTTTTCTTACGGAGCTTTTCTCACATAGACAATCTAAAGTGAACAAAAGCAGTGAATTTATTTTATTATTTATTATTTTCACTGACTTCTGAACCTTAAAATAAACAAAAAAAACGTAGCACACGTGCGCTTGGTGGCCATGCTTTGTACATAGAGTGCAGGCTGTCACGTGCGTCTTTGTCGTCCTCTCCTCCCCTCTCTTCTCATTGTACCTCACGCGCGTCTCTTTGGGCTTCACCAGGCCAGCTATATGAGGCAGAGATCACGTGCCTTGGACCCGACACAAAATAACCAGGAGGGCCCATTTGAAATTATTGCTAGCTTAAAACATCAGTAAATTTTTACAAATTAACTAAAGTAATTCCTATTATCATTGTGCCTTTTTTGCTGGCAAACACATGTAGTAGTGTAAGTTTTTCAATTTAATGCTAAATAAGTATGTGTTGACACAAAGTATATTTATTATCTGAATTCATATTATTTATATAAATTCGAATGGTAAAATTATTATCGGTTGTAAATTTAGAGTGAATATAGATCCTCATACTCAAATATCTATTATTTATCGATACGTAGATTTGAATATACGAATATACTATGGATTAATAAATGATAAAAATATGTTTGCTTCTAAAGAGATTAGAATCTTAATCATAGAGCTTTCACGAATTCAGATTCAGATTAATGTGGATTCATTCGACATATAGTTCAAAATTTAAAATTAAAAAATTTTACAGATTCAAATATTGAATATAAAATAATATTTCCTTTAAGTTTAGATCCGATAATAATACTTATATAATTTATTGATAAAAATATATTTGCATTTTGATATAAAATTATAGATTTAAATAATATAAAAATACAAATACTTAACTCATGATTGTCCCTACTTTTAAACTTTATACAGTAACCGGTGAGAAAACAGGGATGCATGGTTCCATTAAGACAAAATCAGAGGGCATAGGAACTGAAGTGGTCCTCGTCTTAAAATCTTAATTAACGATACTAATGTCACTTATCCTTCGAAGCCAATTGGGTAATGGTTAGGGCATTGCATTGCTTGCTCCACATGCATTTCTTACAACATTATCGAAGTAACCTACTATGTTACGTACCACAAATTCGTGTTTGGTTGTTGAGAAACATGCTCCACTTATACTTACTGGCAGATTATGTACATATTATGGAATTATATATCTCTATTATTGAGTTTTCTTGTTTCTCTTTCATTATTATTTGAAGCCTAATCTTTATTTCTTAACTATTAATTATTGTTATTTGTTTTCCCTGTAAAATCGAATTGAATAAAAAAATTATTGAATTTAGATTATTTTGGGAGTGTTGAATCTCTTGATCTTCATGCGAAATCCCATTTTGAACACATCTTGAGGGTGGGTCTTAATAAACTTTTTCCCACCATTCTCAAGTGAGAAAATTGAATTTTCTTTTCAGGGTTTTCTCCATTCTTTTTTTCTTTTCTCTTCTTTTGACATGGGAGTACTCGATAGAATGGCAATGAAGTCAACTATGGTGGCCAATCTCTCGATGTCCCATTTCATCAACCCAAAGGAATCCATTGTTGCTCACAAAACTTTTCTACTTTTTAACTTTTTTTTTTTTTTTCATTTTCCTCTGCTGCAAAAGTTAGTGTGGATTTTTCTTGATATCATGTCTGATCCTGCTGTATTTTGACTTCTGAGATTCCTTACTAGACCCTACTTGTCTGCAGACAATTAACGATATTTCGTTCGTGTTCGTGGTAAGAAATTTGATATATCTTCGATACTAATATAATTCTATGCTGTTAGGTCCTATCACAACAAATCAAGAATTGATAAGGGGAAGATCCTTGAGACTGCACCCTGTTTGGTGATGATGATTTGATGCAGCACAAGTACAAGGTCAAGACAGACAGTTTATGCTACTCCAACTGTTGGCTTTGGCATATTGTCAAAGCATCGGCTGTCCCTTTTGTCGAACTGTTTTCAGCATTCAAACGTCCATGTTCAATGTGATAGCCATGGAATTTGTCCAGAAAAATCTAAGCATTGATGTGACCGTCTGTTCGAGACGATGCAAACGGTCTATGTTTGTTAGAAAAAACGAGCCATGTTACGATAAATGCGAACCCGAAATCTAATGAGTTATCTAATAGATTTGAAGTTCGAATTCGAATGTTTTTTAATGAGTTATCTAAGAGATGATGGAGGTTTTTTAATTTGTGGCTCTAAAGGGGAACTAGTTTATGTTGGGATGTTGAGGCCATGTGCTTCTACCGGTTTTGAAAATAAAGCAAAGAGGCTTCACTTTCTCCCTTCTCTCGTGGGAGAAGATTGCTGTTGGCTTTCCTCTTTCCACTTTATCATTCATTCCCATCATTTTAGTGATGTTTTTAAATTTCAAGACGCGAAAAGTTTAATATCACTTAAATAAGATTTATGTTTTGATTTCTACTAATGAAAAAACCAATTTTATCATTTTAGATTTTATTTATGTGTTTAATTTCAATATGATTTTATTATGAAATCATCCAGATTCATATAATTACTCGATTAGAAGATGTTTCTTAATAAAAAAAATAGTTACTCAAATAACTTGAATGTTCTGTTCCAAACCCCCGAAGCCAATTGTTACATTTGAAAGACGAAAAATAATTGAGAAAATGAGCTTATAAGTTACAACATGAAGCCATTAACAATGGCTTGATTATTTTTCAACCTAGTAGTTTCATACACCGGTAGTTCCTCTCTGTACCTTCCGATTCCGATGAGATGATCTAACTCGAAAAGATCCGAACTTGAACAACTCAGTGCATCGTCTTCTTCGTCTTCATCATCATTCTCTTCAATAAACCCTCTCAAATCCAGTTTCCCAATACCCCTTCTTTGATAACTCCTCACATAATCAATTGCTTTACTGCTAACTGCATATTCTTTTTTCTTCAACTCCTCGGTTCTTGAAGAAACTTTAAGATTCTTTTGAACAGTCGAAGAGGACGTTAATCTGGGATCTTCTTCATAAATGCATTTATGGTCACAAGGTCTGCAATCTTCATCGGCAATGACACTAACTGGGCAAAATTTAACTGACCTTTTAGTACCATTACTGTACTTATTATTATCACCTCTTGAAGAAGGTGTTTTGCTCAAACAAGACCTGGAGAATGAAGAGGGTGATGAAGCTTTCGATTTTGATTTTCGATGAAAAGCGACATCGGCCGAAACCCCATTGGAGCACATCTTCACTTTCTTGGCATTGGCATTGAAGATGGAGTTTAAGAAGCTAGTGATACGACCACCGGGGGAAATTGGTTGCTTAACTTTCTTCAATTCACCATAGATTTTCAATGCTTTCAGCTTGGTCTTTGTGAGCCCACCGCCGTTTTCTCGCTTGGCCTTTTCTCGCTTCTTATTGTCGTCGTCGTCGTCGTAGAACCGCGTAGATTTATCGTACTTAACCGGCTTGGATCTTCTCGATTTCTCTCTATAACCCGACTCAGCTTCGGACGACGAGAAAACTCCGCCGTTGCTGGAATCCGAGGAGCTCGAAGTCGAGTTGAAATGAACAACTGAGCGATAATCGTCGATCATGATATCACGTTTAAGACTCGAAGCCTTTCGACCACCTTCCATGGGAGCACCGCTGCTCTGTTTCTTAACAGGGTTTGCACTTGTTTTATCCCTGTAATGGCACAATGTCGGCTCGTTTCCGTAGCCGGAGTCGTCGATGGATCGATAAATGGCATCGAGAAGGGTTGAAGAGAAAGAAGGGGTTCTTCTTCTATGAGGAACCGTAGTATCCACCATGGAACTCTCTCTTCTATGCATAGTGTGTTCTTTCTTCTGCATACACACACAAGCACAAACCACGAACAGGGGAAACAGAGATTTATACAGGATTAAAGAAGGAGAATAAAAGAAGAGGGACAGGAAATGTTTAATTTAAAGCTTTGATGTCTACTTAGAGAGTGTCAAAAGCTGCAAAGACACGGATTAAGTAGAAACATGCAAGTAGATCATGTGAAACAAAGAACGCACACAGAGAGAGAAAGGGAATACAAATGATAGAAAATTCATCAATATGAACTGGACTGTTGAGTTTAGTTTGGAGCCGGTATATATAATATTTTTATGTATAAATATTTGTTTTCCGTTTGTGTACGGCACTGCACAGTGACAAAGGCATAAACAAGTGGATTTTTATCTATAAATTATTCTAATACTATTATCCGAATTTAAATTAAATTAAAATTCTAAATCATATATTTTAAAATATTTATATGTATTTACTCCAAGTCCACAAAAATAAATGACTGGAGTTTAACCTTTAATCCCTCCGATGTGGGTTTTCTCGAATTAGGGAGGTCTCATATTTTACTGAGTTTTCTTTTAGAAAAAGAATTAAGGATGATTATGAGTCCAGATTTGACATGTTTCACCTTGATTCAGCCTTATAGAATCATGTATTCTTCTTTTTTTTAATTCATAATGAGTCGAGTATTTTTGTTTTTGAAAAAAATAAGGTCGACTTAAATTTAGATGAAAAATCTTTGATTTAATCCGACGCGAGATAATAATATAATGATCTTTTGTATATTTACAGATAATTACAATAATGTAATACATTTCTCTATATTTGTTCAATTAGTTCTCTATTTTATCTAATAAAAATAATTCTTTTTATATATTTGTACCACATTAGATTAAGTGTGAGTTTTTATCAATTTTTTGGATTGGGTGAAACCTCCCTAAACTTGTGTCAATCGGACGAAGAGATAGAATGCTTAGATGAGATGACGATATGAGAGGTAGAATATCTGGATTAGGTTCAAGTTGATAAAAATCTGACTTGACAAATATTCATCTTAAAAAAATCATTTTAGATCTAAACTTACATTTAACTTCAAAGTTGATAATTAGATTAACAAAAGGGTTTGATGTGAACGATACTCTAGTTTGAAGATTGAATTACAATTTGAAATTTAAGGATTAAATTATAATGTAGCCCGTATATTAAAGATGTTTAGTGTAATTAATCCACAAAAAGGGTAAAAGTAAAGAAAAAGAGAGAGTGGTGTACTTTGTAGTTGATGTAACCGAGGAAAAGAGTCGGAAGTGCCGCGCGTGCGGGTGGAGGGGCGCCAGGCTGTTGCAGGTTTGATTACTGGGTAACTTTTATCATTTGTTTTTACCAGTTTGATGATCGTAAGGACTAAAGTTAACTTTTCTTTTTCCCTTTGTTGGGGTTAATTGTAAGCCAACAGCCAATCAGATAATGTGTGGTCATTTTCTCCTTTCACTTTTCTTCCAGTAATTTGTAATTCTTATCACCCAGTTTTTACCCCCTGAATCAGAGAACTCCATGAGCTCAGTGCTTCTTTGAGGAAGAAGATACAACTCGAACGATTTCGAAATTTGATATACGAGTACAATCATAAAAATATAATTGGACGAATAACCAAAAATTATACGGAGTGTCGAGCGATGATAAATCCCGAAAGGACCTGTACATATTGAGATTTAAATCCGCAAATCAACCTAAAAACTCAAATATGTTTTTATCATCAAATTAGGCATGCAAACAAACCGAACGAACAAGAAGAAGGGTATGTTTATATTCGTTCGTTTAACTTTAACCGAACAAATGAACGAACACGAACATAAACGAACAAAAATTTTCTTGTTCGTGTTCATTCGTTAAGGAATGTAGATTGTCCGTGTTCGTTCGTTTAAATGATAAACGAACACAATAAACGAACACAATAAACGAACGTAAACGAACGGATGTAAATAAACACAAACGAACGAACGTAAAATAACACAATAAATAAACATAAACGAACGTAACTAAACATAAATGAAAATATATATTTTTTTTCTTTCCTAACATTTTTAGGATTATATTTTTATTTATTTTTTAAGTTTTTTTATTTATATTTAAAATTAATTGAATTTTAATTTTTTTATGGGTATCAGATTAAAATTTATTGTGCTTTAATATTTTAAATGAGTCTAGAGATATTTGGCTAAACATAAATAAACACACATAAGCAAACGAACATAAATGAATGAACATAAATGAACGAACATATTATCGAACGTTCACGAACGTAAATGAATGAACGAGTCCTCTGTTCATGTTTATTCGTTTAATTAAACGAACACAATCTTGTTAATGTTCGTTCGTTTAATAAATAAACGAACATAAATGAACTTCCCGCAGAACTGTTCGCTGAACGTTCAGTTCGTTTACAGGACTACGTCAAATTGTTTAGTCTGAACATCTATATCAACATTTGGAAGAAAAAAATCTGAATTCAAAATTTAAAATAATATGTTGAGTACTCGGATATGTTACTTGATGATCAAGGTTTGAATCCTCTTAAAAATAAACATACTCTCTATTTCGTAATGTAGACTCAAATTCAAATATCTTAATATGCATAAATAATACGGATTTAAATATCCCAGTACGTAACAAATAGTAGTTTTATCAATCCAAATTGACAACCCTACTCATTGCCTTAATCCCTCAACTTTAAATCTAAATAATTTGATCATGTACTTTTATGTTGTTAGTTGTAAACTTGAAGCCAAGGCAGAAATTGTATTTAGAGTGGCTAAAATTGAATTACTGTCCTTTTGGGGTTTAGAGTGTATTTTTACGATGACGTTAAATTAAAATTTCATAATTTCTAGAGGACTAAACAAGAACTATAACATACCATCAATTAAAATGGCCTCGAGATTTTTGAAATGTATTATCAATTAAATATAATTAATTAAAGAATTAATTGCATCATATATCCTTAAACTATGATTCATATTGTAAATTGGTCCCTAGTTTTTTGAATATTTTAATTTCATCTTCAAACTATGATACTCATTCTAAATTAGTCTTTAAACTTTTGAACATTCCAGTTTCATTCTCAAACTATTACCCTCATTCTAAATTGGCCCCAAAACTTTTAAATCTTTCAATATTATCCTCAACTTCATCCAAATATGTAATTAGTTTTAACCATAGTTTAACCTAAACATTATTATTTTTAAACAATATAGCTTGGCCTGACGATTTTATTGAATGGAGCATGATTTATATATACATATAATTTGGGATGAAATTGAAATGCCGAAAAAGTTTGAGGACTAATTTAGAATGAAGGATATAGTTTGGAGATGAAAATAAAATGTTCAAAAGTTTAGAGACCAACTTTGAAAGAGTATCATAGTTTGAGGACGTATGATGCAATTAATTCTTAATTAAATTTTCTCGTGATTATAATTGTATGATCTAATAATAATAAAAGTTTAAATCATTAATTTATCGAAAGTAACTAACGAGGTTAAGTAAAGAGTTTAGTGTAATAAGGAACTAAAACAGTAATCAGACCATTTTGGTTCAACACAGAGAGAATGCTTGGGTTTACATAATTACATAGAACCCCCAAAGAATTAGGCCCAAATCAGTGGAACATGGTCGAGTCCCTCCCGACCCTACTATATATCATTCTTAGTAGATAAAACATCACCCTAATATATATATAAAGATGTATTATTATAATTATTCATAAATATAATAATTATATTATAATACTTTAGTTGGATTAATAATTTTTATTTTACATTCAATTTCGATTCAATCTTATTCTTAAAAAATCAATTTGATCTAAATTCAAAATTTTTTTTAAATAACCCGACCCTCGAAATCCATCAAATTTGAATCCTATGCCCATCCCTAATAGGCAAAGATTTAAATTGCAGTTATGGTCGCGTTTCCAATCACGTTGTGTTTATCGTGCTTGTGGATATAATGGATGCTATTGCGGTCATTGTGAGTATCGCAATGGTGAATATTTTTTAAAGGAGTTGATTTTCTTTTTTTTTTAAACTATATTTTAAATAGAATAGCGGAATAATAGCGGGAATAACATGCTACCATTGTCACTATTAATCGCTACTCGTTAAATTGATGTTGTGATCCACTGCTATTAGTGTGATTATGCTATTTTCCGTAATAACAGTTTTAAACACTGTCACGATTGTTATATAGCAGCTGCTATTTTGCTATTCGACCGCTATTTAAATCCCTGCTAATAGGCATAAAAGAAGGATGAAAAACATTCTCTCTTTTATTATATTTGTTTTCCATTTTTACCATTATCCACATACACATTCGCTGCTCTTTACCACCAACATTTCTTGTTTTCAAAGAAACTAGTAATATAAAATCCCACCACCATGATAGCTGCTACGAAGCTGGAAAAAAAAAAAGAAAAACTTGGCAAAAGGTGACAGTATGTAGAAACACCTGCTTAGATCATTGTAGAAGGGATTCTACAAGTATGGAAGAAGAGAATGACACAAAATAAACACCCCAATGATTTAGAAATGCGCCAGCAAGCGGCTAATCTCCTTCGTTTCGCTGTTCGTGTATCCTGGCTCGGTTCTCTTCCCACTACAGTCTGTCACGCATCTCTCCAAATCTTTCCCGGCTGCAGGATATAGAGTGATGGAATCACATTTCATCAATGAATAGTTCATGTTGGATTTGTCTAAGCATGGGAGTAAAATTAGTTGGTAGAAAGGAAGCATAAGTGACTCAGTAATTATACTGTCAAAAGAAGGTTTTGCAGCTTATAATTCTGTTTCTGAGGATCAGTGATTCAAATCATACTTGTTTACATCACTGACTTGTGCTGGACCCATCAAACTAATAATGAAATCAAATCCACCAAAAAAAAAAAATGGCTTTTGGCGGGTTTCATGTACATTGTAATAACTAACCTAAATCTCAAAATAAATTTGAGAATATCTTATTTTATTAATT